TATATATAAAAAGCACACTCTCTTGTAGCTAAAACACTGCCCCATCTACAACTTCAAGCAGATACTCAGCTTAGCTCTACTACTTTAATACTCTTCTGTCCATTCTGAAGAAAGGGCAACATGGAATATTTTAAATTTTCACTGTATGTTTGGCCACTGATCACTGTGATACAGCTCAAGAGCCTTCCAAGCCTGGTAAATATCAAAATAACAATTACCAGAAAAATAAAAATCCTGTTGATAGTGAAAAACCATTTACTGATCCACTGGTGGTGAAAAATTTATAAGCTGAATGAAACTTTCTTGTAATATAAATATGTCTTTACACTATTCATTTGGTTAAAAGTATATCTGAGCCTTCCGTGACAACAGGGCATCCAATAACAACAAAATCAATATAAAAAATGAGTAAAACCAGCAAAAATGTGAAGAACTTGGGAATGTTACTCTTTTGGTCTAAAACTCCCAGAATCTTCAGCCAACATATGGTCAATGGCCATTCTGGCTCAGGGATTCAGAGAATTGCCATCAAAAATAAGTTTCCCAATCTCTGCCACTGGGCTATGGTAGTTAGGGTTGTGGGAAGTTGCAATCCCAAACCACCAGAGGGGTCACACAAAGAATGGCCGTTCAGGGCATCAACTGAAAACCAGTTGTGAATTCTCAAAAAGCGTGGGCTCTGGACATCAAACAAGCAGTACTGCATGATGCTAAAGAAAGCATCCATCAGGTAAAGCTTTTTGGCTCTATCTGATGGTATTTGGCTTTACTTTGGCTTAAACTGACGGTTCCTGATGGTTTAACTAAATCCCAAGGCAGAACACGTTGCTGGGCATTCATCCCTCCCCTAGCCAAAAAGAGATTCTTTGAGTTTCAAAAAGGCAAGGGGAAAAGGGGGAGTGGGTGAGCTGATTGCCTGACTTTCCTTTAAGAGATGGGCCATAAATTACAAACTGCAGGGAAGCAGCTTGAAAACAACTTTTACTATATGGCACTATCACCATCTCAGAAGCAAATGTGGCCTCAACATCATCAGCCATGTGGATCTGGGACATTAATAAGAGCATATATATTTGGAACTCCCCACAAGTACTTGATGCACAGCCCTGAAGATGATGATTTATCATTGAAACCTTGCTGTTTGGTTTTTTGTTTTATATTCTTAATGGTAGATTAAAGGTATCACCTCTTCCTGCATTTGGGTTGTTTCTGTGACCATGCAGCCTTTTCTTGATTTTTTCTAAACAACTTTGGTTATCATTATTCCCAGTGTCCTCTCCAAAAAGAAGCAGGAAAGAGACACCTTTCCCAGAATTCAGCCATATGAGAAGCAAATCAAACGTAAAAGAATTTCCAAAATATTTTAAAGGTTTGCTATATTTTTTTTCCTTCTCTACTAGCGACTGGTAAAAGAAATACTATAATTAACACCACAAGGGTCAAAGCAGGAAAGGAGGGGGAAGCAAAGGGTGATAGAAACATATGGAGTATTATTACCAAAGTAATATAACAACATCCACTTGTCTATATTACTACAGGGGTAGGTTCAAAAACCGTTTCTCTTTTGCTGTCAACTATTAAGCCAAGTTAAAGGGAAAATGCAAAGAATAGTCATCTTTCCTTTCTATTATCTTTTCTGGTGAGGAATTCCTCACTGTGGCATTAGAACAAGAAGGAATTCTGGAAGGACACATGAAAACAGGAAGTGACTTTAGGAAACTGGAAGCCATTGTTTGTTCTTTAGCCTTCACCACTATTATGCATGTGTGTCTGGTTACCGACATTGTCACCTAGAACGGGAAACAAGTCATAGAAAAACACACATGACTCTGGTGCTTATGCGTACCAGGGAGGATGGAAAGAAATAATGTTTAAATGCTAGCTGGCCTTTAACAGGCTAATACATAAGAAGCTAAAAAAATAGAATCCCTTCCTGTGGAAACAAACTAAAAGATCCAGTGGAATTTTTCACAGTTTTCAAGTGACACCTCATACATTTTCATTCAGATATTTGTACTGGCACCATGATGTAACCAAATCAGATGTGATGACAGCATACTAGTGAGTTAAAACCAAGTTTGCCACTGAAGCCTTAGGGTATGGCAGAGGCATGTGAGGAGATTAAAGTACAATGTGAAAAAGACAGAAGGAAGCACTGAAGCCTTATTTCTTTTTTAATGTTTTGTTATATGCCACCATATTGGCATTGTCTGGGTTTGCTTAGTTTAATACTCAGATATATTGATTTTCTTTTCTGATTAATTTGTTTTTATCTTGATTTGTGTCTCTCTGTGTGTGTGTGTGTGTGTGTGTGTGTGTGTGTGTGAGAGAGAGAGAGAGAGAGAGAGAGAGAGATTACATTATTGTGTTTGTATTCCTTTGATGTAAACCATCCAGAGTAGTGCTCAGCAGTAATTGGGTGGCATACAAGCATATCAATCAATCAATCAACCAACCAATCGATCGATCAATCGATCGATCAACCAACCAATCAACCAACCAATCAATCAATCAATCAATCAATCCTCTATAGGCTTTTAGGTTCTTTCATGACATGCCTTGACATTTTTCATTTTGTTTCCTCAATAGTATTCTAAAAGTGGATTTAATTCCTACTGAAAGAAAAATGGTTGAAGCCCAGTGGCTTATCGCAAAAAACACAAACGAGGAAAGGGCTGCAATTCCCCAGTAAAGATGTGTTATCAGTTCTGTTTCAAGGGCCAAACCTGTGTCTGCACTTCTGTCATCAAGTTTTAATTTCCAACAGTTTCACCTAATGCAGGAATAAGATAGTCTATTAACCAAAATGCTGGCCAAAGGGTTAAAGACACTTCTCGTGCTCATTCTTATGAAAAAGTTCCTGTGTACTCTGGGCATGAAAATATTTTATTGCCCTTTATCATTCATGATAACCTGCTATATTCTCGAAGATGACAAAGCTATTTATCATGGCCCAGGGCATGAACACAGATTTTTCTTGCAGGTGGTTCCAGGTTCAATTCTGGCATCTCCCCAAAGGGCTATGAAAGACTTCTTGCAGAAATCTTTCACTGCCAGTGAGTGCTGATAACACTGCACTAAATTAACCAATATAAAGCATATCCAATGTTTGTACAAATCTATTAGCTAGAGGTATGGAGAAAACCACAATTCCACTGACAGAACTGTTTTAGTAACTTGTACAGGTAATGCTTTCTAACAGTTTTAGCAAGGAAGGAGAGAGATGACAGAGGTGCAGAACATTATACATGATGTGGTGAAAGTAAAAAAGAAGCTTTTTATCCCACACTCATAATACTAAAACTGAAGCTGAATGGTAAATTAGTCGGAATTAACTGAAGCTGAACAGTAGGGCAATCGGAATTTTAAATAGGAGCACTTCTTCACAAAGCTTGTTGCTAAACTATGGAATTCATTGCCACAAGATGCTTAGAACTGAAAATTAAACAACAAAAACTACAGAAGAATGATATAACATCCATGTTGATACTAAAGCAATCAAAATTGCTAAAGATTTTCTATAGTTTGGTTCAACCATCAATCCCAAAACAGACCACAGTCAGAAGATTTTAAATGGTGACGGCATCTATGAAGGAATTAGAAAAGATCCTAAAGTGTAAGGGTGTGTGTCTAGAAAGCAAGGTCAATATAATCCATACTACAGTATTCCTCATTCCCGTTAGTACATATGGATGTGAGATCTGAACAATAAAAAAGAAAAAAATGATTCATTCAAAATAAACTGTTGGAGGAGAGCTTTAGAAATACCACAGAACACCGGAAAGACAAAAAAGTGGGTTCTAAATCAACTGAAGTCTGAACTCTCACTGGAAGTAAAAATGATTAAACTCGGGCTGTCATACTTTGGATGTGACATGGGAAAACAAGTCTGACTGGAAAAGGCCATAACACTAGAAATAACT